GACAAAATTAAATAAGCAATAAGCAATAGATTAGAAATAAAGCGGTTAATAAACTAAAAATGACTCAGTTACAGTAGAATAATATGAAACATTTATATTGAATCAAATAAAAGACTGATAAGCACATTGTAGGAAATAATACATTGAAATTATATCAAAATAGATCACTTCAAATATCGCATGTGCAACTATGGAAAAACATACGAAGAAGGGATACAAACACAGAAGACAAAGCAAGAAACATAAGTGGTTCAGCGTCATGCTCCGTAGTGGATAGCGATTACAAAGCCTCGTGTACTTTCACTACGGCTGACAAGATTCGAGATAAAACGTGTGCACGAAAGGTGTACTTTATTGAATAATGATAAAATAACAGTGTATAGAAAATCCCTTTATCTAGCACTGTACAAACTGGACTCACGCGAAAAATAAAATTCATAGAGGAAAAAAGAAAAGTGGACGGTACATATACGGTTGGGATATTATCCTGTTCGGGATATGTACATAAATAGTTTAATGCTTGTTTTGCAGCTTGTAAAGGGATCTAGTTCGTAGTAATCTACTTGCTCGGTCTGCCCCGTTTCTGAGAGAGAAAATGATTTTTCTTTCATGTCAAGTTTGATTTTGAATGCATTCACCAACTAGCGAATGTCTCGGCGACATTCCCCCGAAGTCAGTATGGCGAATGTCTATTGACGAAAGTGGCGACACGCGACTTTACCGTCACTACTGCTCAAATCTTGTTTAAACTGAAAAATAGCTTGAGGTGTCACCTAACCCTTTGAGGAGGGAATTTTTTTCAATAGGAAAAACAATTTGCTATCGTTTTATTTCATCTTAACGTAGAATAGTCACATCGAAATCTGATGGTACTCAAAAAACAGTTTTTGTCGTATTTTAAACAAAATGCCAGTTTGCAGGAAAAACAGTCGATATTAGATTGCACTTCTGCTTCCTTGGTGCTGCAATAAGCATATCTTCTTCGTTTTCCTTTCACAGGTAGATGCATATTATTCTCAAAACGAAGAGTTTTGGGTGATGGTAGTTTAGACTTCTTTTCAGAGGGAGGTCTTCCACGATTGGTTCTTTCGTTGCCGGATCAAAGCGATTTTGCCACTAAAACCATATAGTTCAACTGTGTTACCTTATTTTGAACTAACTGATTGTAACAAACGAATGAATTGAAAATGGATGCATTTGGAAAATAAACAAAGATCCGAGTCCAATTTCTTTTAGACTTGCGGTCGATACTGTAGCACGATATTGTTTGATTGAATAGATCAATCCCATGTGCGAACTGGTTGTAATCTTTTATTGCTGGCGGACATTTGATCGTAATACGTTGACCATTTTTCAAACGACGAGAGACCAGAGCAACTTTGTTCTCTTGATGATAATTTGACGCTAAAAAAAACATATTTGGTATCCATCCATATGAAGATGAGATTGTTCGATGTAATTATTGACTTGTAATCACCTCGTTCCATTTTGTTTTTCTTAGGAAAGTCAGACAGAATACCTGCTCGATCTGATCTGATCGTTCCACAAGCTTTTACGTTCTGTAACTTTAGTTTTTCTAATAATTTGAGAGAAGTGAAAAAGTTGTCGAAATATAGATGTTTTCCTCTGAAGTTCTGACTAGATATAAGATCGAAAACAACACGTTCTCCCAACGATGTTTCGTTTGCACTGGTTTCCTCTTTTCCTACATAGATTTGATAGTTGAATAAATATTCAGTGACTGAATCACATAAGCACCAAACTTTATAACCCCTTTTGATTGGTTTCAGAGGCAAATATTGTTTGAGACTTGATCTACCCTTGAATTTGATCATACTTTCGTCGATCGTGGCATAGAGACCAAAGGGGTAGTTTTCCTGGAAGTTTCTCCGTAAAATGTCAGTAAATCGTTGAACTTTGTATATTTTACTGTAGTCTTTGGGCTCTCGCTCTGGTTTCAGTGAGCTATCAGCCAAGCGTAAGTTATAAAAAACTTGAGGAAATCGATCTCTTGACATGATCGAAGAGATGAATGTATTATGGAATACTATGTCCTTGCTCCAATAAAGTTTCATATTTGGCAAATCATTGACACCCATTAGGATAATCAATCCGAGAAAGGACTCGATCTCTGCATTGCTTACATCTCTCCAGCGATCGGTTTTCTTCTTATTATTTTTCGCTTTCTTTTCTTTTCCGTAACTGTTGGTTTCCTTTGTAATTAAATGTAAAATTTCATCATTGAGAAAGGCTCGAAAGATCGAAATTGGAGTTGGCTCTTCGTCGGATATCGAAGTGAAACCGCTATCCGTAGCGATGTTTTCATCCGAGGAATTTAGCTCATTTACATATGCATCCTGATCTTCATCAGAAAGTTCGAGACCATCGAAGTCATCGATCAGTTCATCGTCTTTGAAATCGAAATCACTTTCACTGGTGTCATCAGTATCGTATGAATCGCAGGACTCATCATCGACTTCACTTTTCTCATCGATTTCCATCTTCTTTGTGTTTATTACATAAAGCGCTGTGAGAAACGAAGAACAAAGGTCTAAGAGACGAATCGTTTGAATATATCAATTCCTCCTTGAGAACATGCGTGTATATATATAGTCAAAAAAGGCTGAGAATATTCTCGAAGAAGCGAGTCATCAGAGAGAAAGGAAGAAAATCATGACGTCACTGTTCGCAGCGGCGAAAATCGAGGACAATGGAGACGAACCGATGAGAGCGAAAGAAAGAAAGAAACGAAAAGTGTAACGCGTTGAATTCGATTGCTTTTTATCCTAATTACCTTCCTTATTTCGTGTTTCAATGTGGATTAACGATATTTTTACGAATGTAAAATAGGTGGGACAACGTATATCCCACCGTCCTCAAAGGGTTAAATCCCGGATATTCGTCCAGAACGGCTTCAATTGAATGTTCTTCTATGTTACGAATGAACAAACGTCTCAATTGAAATGTTTTCCGCCAATATAATGTCAACTGTTGTACATCTGGATTTTTCATCTGTAACATTTCTTTCATTTTCTTTACCATCTCTAATTCTCCAACGTCTCCATCGTCGTTTTCATTAATGTATACCTAAAGCAAAAAACAACCATGATGCAATGCTCGATATTCTTCTGAAAAACACTCTAATTTCAAACTTCTGTATTCTTACTAAATTTTCTATACACCGTTCAACTACTGCTAAACTACCTTTTTTCATTGGTCGTCCTTCGACTTTTCTTCCGAATTTCGCTTGTGTTTGTCCAACAATGATTTATGTTTCTTAAAATGGACGTCGTTCGCACTTAAATTTGTTTTTTATAGTTCCAGTCCAACCTCTCTAGCATGTGGAAAAAAAGCAAGTATTTCAATAAATAGGAGAACTAACGATTAAATAGGAGAAAAACGATTAAGGGGAAAATGATGACATTTTGGGGTAAAATTGACTTCACTATTCGAAAGAGCTCGAAAAACTACATCGGATCTTCGTTTTCGATGCCCACATATATTGAAACACAATTCTTTTCTCATGCGTCGACAATATATAAATATACGTGCTTGTGTTTAACCGGAAATTTTCTAACTAACCGTTCTTGCAGATAAACTGCCGTATGTTCTTTGAGCACTCTTCAATTTATCAGACTTAAATTTTGTAACGATTGGACCCGTATGGTGTTTTTGCATTAATGTTTTGGGAGGCATAATTGAATCAAGTGAATTATTGATAGTTATAAGAAGACGAAGAAGAACAGAACGTTACAAATGTATGGTAGATGAAACTGTGCGTGGTAACGACTTTGTCTTCTATCTTCTATTATATTTTATACTACACTCACATATGAAAGATGTCTAACCTACGATGCAAAAGTAACTGCGGAAATCTCCAGTCATGGTTCTCCGCTCAGGAACATCACAAAAAGTTCATTCTTTTTCTGATTGAAAGAGCAAAGCCACAACTACAAAAAAAATAGAAACCAAGATTTTTGTGATTGGCTTTGAGGAAGAAAAAAGCACGATACTAAATGTCGCTAAAGAAACTCTTGCAACATACTTTTTTTCTTTATTTTTTTACTAGAGTCTGAAGAAGACGTTTTCTTGAAAGCCAAATAGACAAGAAAGTAGCCGGTGCAAAATTCTATCGACTTCCCTACTTTAGAAAGTTTCTCAGTCATTCTTAAAACGGTAAATAAAGCGCATTATAAGTCTTAATCTTGATGGAAAGCACTACTTTGCATGGGAAAGATGTGACATCGAGAAAAATTCGTTATTCAGGACTCTAAACATGTTAGTAAAGGTTAAAGTAATGTGAATTTGTAGAGAATCCCATGCTGTTCCAGAAAATCTGCTTTAGGAAAAGGACAAAATTTGTCCAGTATCTGAAAATTATTAATTAAGTCTAATTACGTGTTTTCTGAAACTAATGAAAAATTTTGTAAAGGTCAGGTCGAAGAGTGAATCAAAGCTGAATTTATCATACCCTATTTGAAAGAGTGGTAAAAGCACTTCTAGTTTTCATTCCATTGACTGTAAGTCTATGGCCATCCAAAAAAAATTTCGTCATACAAAAAAGTCAAAGTGTTTGTATGTGTATATATGTATGAACGTGATTTGATTTGAACTGAATTGATAGGTTTATTAAAGATATTGGTATATTAATGATAAAAGTAAGAAATAACGACGAACAAGTAAAATGCGAAAAATAATAAAAAAGAGATAACAAAGAAAGAGATAAATATTCTAGTAAATAGTCTCGGCTAACATTGACGTTAGACAATGAGATAATCTTTGCTAACATTGAGGTTAGGCTCACATAATTGATTTGCAGAATTAGGCTAATTTTTATCAAATTTATTGACACGTGTTTCGGTTGTAGACCTTTTTCAAAATAAACCTATTCATAAATCAAGTAGAAAATACAATCGACAGATTAGAACAAAATTTAGTTACTTACAGATTAAGCAAGATGATAACACAGTATAGTATATGAAAGAATGCAGTTTGGACTGCCTATACGGCTGACGTAGGAATGAAAAACGTGCTTGTATTTATGCAAAAAGTAGGGCCAAAGAACGGAGAAAAAAAAGCAAAATGTTATGTATCTTCCTTCTATAACAAGAACAGGTAGCTAGGTAACGAAAATAAGAGAGAGAAAGAATAAAACGTTGGCCAGAAAAAGCTAACAAATATTGATGGCGTTCAAAAGCAGTAAAAAATAAAAAACGAAACGGTCATGCATTATGATTGTATAAACATATTGATTATTTGACAGTGATTCTTTGAAAGTTATCAGTAATATTAAAATTAGTAAATTTCCATAATTTTCAATAATATATAACAAGATAACCATAACATAGGAATAATATAGAAAAATATAGAAAAAACATGGAATTAATAAAGTTATTGTACAAAAATAATATACGGATAACGTGAAGATAATAATATAAAAAAATATATAAAAAGATAAAATAAAAATAATATTAAGATAATAATATATAAAGATATCACAAAAATTATAGCAATAATAATAAAAACAAGTAACAATACGAATAAAAATACTAATTAATAAATAATAAATACTAACAATTAATGCAATTATTTTCAGTAGTTTCAATATGATAAAGTAATAAAATATATTATAAAGTATTATACTACAAGGTAAATAATTAGAATTTGTTACAAATTATGGACATCAATACACAGACACACAGACAGACACACATAGCCCACCGTCCCACCCAAGCATGTTCTGTATAAGCGTGATATGCAGGACTGTGTATAAGTGTCCCGTCGATTATGAAATGTAATGCCAATAAATAATATTAATGATTATTACTATCATTAATTTGTGTTTTTAATGTCTTAATCCAATATTGTTCTCTGTCGAGCCGGTGTTGCTCGTTAGTATAATTTGTTTCAATAATAATAACTCTGTGATTTTCAAGTGGATGACAAGGGCGGTTGAAATGTTCAATACATCTACTGTCATTACCAGAGTTTTTTCTAATAGATGAACGATGTTGTCTAAATCTATCTCTTAGTTTTGGTTCCTCCATATTGCATGTTACATAAATTACAGGTAATTAAATAAGATAAGTTAGTGGAGCCACAATTAACATTATAAGGAATATTATAAATTTGGTTGGTAACAGTTGAAACGAAATAATTTTTAATAACTAAATATTTACAAGTTCCACAATGAGGATGATTACATTTAACACAGCCCATAGGGTTAATATGATGAACAGGAACAACATTAAAGAAAGAAGAAGGATAACGAGAACGCAGTAATAAAGAAGCCAGATTTGAAGAACATTTATATATCAAACGACAGGCATCAGGAACATTAATAGAATAATTGTTATCAATAATTTTTTTAATGTTTGGTAATTGAGAATGATAAGGAATTACTATATTTCTTAGAATCATTGTTTTCATTCTGTTTTTTCGGACGATACATTAATTCTTTTCAATTATATTGTTGTATTTGTAAAATTTTTTGTAAGATATTAGATGCCCTGTAACCGCGTGCTAACAGACGACTGAATAGATTATAAAATTCAGGCCACATTGTAGATGGTGAAGAGCATAAACGAACAATACGACTGGAGAGAGACAGAGCGGTGTTATTGATGACGTAACGAGGACGTAATGATGTATATTGTAAATACTGAAACGTGTTTGATGGCTTAACATATAATGACGTTTCAAGACGATTTAATGTTTTATTAATAATAATATTAACATCCAAGAAATTAATTTTTGTTGTACTACTTTTAAATGTGTATATTAAGTTATTATTAGTCTGATTTAACAGATTAAGTAAATCTTCAATAATATTTTTACCAGTAGTAAGCAAAATGCATAGAATCGAAGAAATCGAAAGAATCTTAATATTAATGATGACGAACATTTCTTGATAAACGACTTCAACGCTTTCATTTCTTTCTTGAACACATATATATGAGTGATTCTGGTGATTTTTGTACCGTTCGATTTAAGCTAATGGAAATGCATGGTTCTCCGTTAATACTAAATCGAACTTTTAGAAGCTTATGCCATTTTATTCCGAACACTTTACTCTATATATACTGCTAAGATCTCTTTTCTGTCTTATTTTCTTAGTGTACAGTAAGCAAAACACTTTGTTTTTGGGTTCTTTTTCCTTTCTTTTCTTAGTGGTTCTCGCACGTTCTTTTTTCTTAATTAACATTCTTCTTTTCTTAAAGGGCAGTGGAACAAAATCTTTTTTGCTTTTTGTGCAGTATTTTACCTGCTCTGTCAATCTGCAGTCTTAGTTTTGCCTAATCTCTTTTAGTTTCTGTGAAAACTTCGATGAAATTTCTGATCCTCGAAAAGTTCAGAAATCGTGTCTCACCCCCTTTTGAGTCTACTGCGCAGCCAATAAGCACTTTAAGTCATATATTTTTCTATGAAAGGATTTACCAAAGTAGGCACTGTAGACTGTTGAAAACCGCAAGTTGCTAGTTTTTTTCGTTTTTGAGTAATTGACATTTTACTGACGTCCAGTAGCTTGTGACATGCAATTTGTCCCACCCCCTTTTGACTCTCCCCTGACCGAACTACATGGAATTGAGAACTCGTTTTTTTACCATATATGTCAAATGGGTAGCACAAGTTATGCTGTAAATAGCAAGACCTCAGCTTCTTTCTTAAAGAAGAAATTTGAAAAATACATCAAAATGTCCCATCCCCAAACATATCTCTAGAATTGTTTTGGCTAGTACATAAAGCCTCATATTATACAATTATACGTATTTTGACACCCTGAATTGAATGGCCGGCTCAGTTTTCTGAAAACCAGCTCGGCAAAGGATTTCCAGAAAACCTGGATTTCTAGAGGCCCAAGGTTAGAAATTGTCAAAAACCATTTTTTAATGATGCCAGTTGATAGGGCAGATGTGAAAACCTATGTTTCAATACATTTTTAACCTCAGTTATGCCCTTTTAGCTGAAAAGCAGAGAAAATCGCATTTTCGATCCTGAGTCAAAAAGTGAACAACCAGGATCTCGGCTGAGAAGGACTTGGCAGTTTGGAAACAGAGTTTTTTCTAGACTTTCAAGTACCCTCTATAAATCTACAGTCTTAAGATATTTTCTTAGACACTTTCATTTTGGGTCATTTTTTTCTTTAAAAATGGTACAAAAATCACCAGAATCCCTCATATATTGGAATACGGAGGGGCAAGCTTCGTGTCCATAACCGTGCCCATGCGCTGGTAGTACAACAAAAATTAATTTCTTGGATGTTAATATTATTATTAATAAAACATTAAATCGTCTTGAAACGTCATTATATGTTAAGCCATCAAACACGTTTCAATATTTACAATATACATCATCACGTCCTCGTTACGTCATCAATAACATCGCTCTGTCTCTCTCCAGTCGTATTGTTCGTTTATGCTCTTCACCATCTACAATGTGGCCTGAATTTTATAATCTATTCAATCGTCTGTTAGCACGCGCAAAAATTTTAGAAATACAACAGTATAATAGAAAAGAATTAATTTAGGCGACCATGCGTCTTTTGAAATAAATACAGCAAGTGTTGAGCAAAAAAAATTTGAAGCAAAACGTGTGTGCACGTTGGAAATACTACCGCTTCGTCTATCGACTGATCAATATTAGCATCTCAAATCCGGCTGCCAAGCAGAGAACAGTAAACTTCATGACAGAATTAA